CGAAACCGTCGTCAAGTCCGCCTCCGACTCCGCCATGGTGCTGGCCAGCGTCCTTCGGTACACCAGGTCGTACAGCGCCCTGCGCTGCTCCTCCAAGCCGCGGCGGCCGCCTCCTCCACGGGGAGCTCCGTACCGTAGGATGCAACAACCTCCCCGCGGTGATCGTAGTAAAACTAGCGGAGGCTGATCCAGCCCATGACCCCGCTTCTTTCTCCTCCCCCCCCGCTTGCTTTCGGTCGGGAGTGTCGGTCGCAGCCGGTGCTGCGCCGACTACTTGTAGGGCAGGGCGGATAGCCTCGTACGCCTCTTGGCAGCCCTTGACCTTGACAGGCTTAGCGTCCCCTTCGAGGAAAGAGGGAAAAAGAGAGATGTTCCACGGCAGCGGGGGGGTCAAGGGAGGAAGCACGCATGCCAGTAAGGACAGCAGTGTGAGCGGCAAGCGCAGGTGCCCAAAATGCCTTGCCTATCTGAAATTGTGTCTGGCGGCGGGGAGGAGGGCAGGGACATGCTCGGCCATCGTCATCGTGACATCGCAAAACAAGGACAGAAGACAGAGAGACAGAGAGAGAGACCTAGAGAGAGACGCCTGCAGACGATATGCAGAGAAAGAACGGAATAGCGTGTGTGTGTGTGTGTGTGTGTGTGAGAGAGAGAGAGAGAGAGTGAGAGCGAGAGAGGGGGGGCGAGAGAGAGAGAGAGAGCAGGAAAACGACCACACGCAAAAAAAAAGTAAGGCCGACGTCTGAGAGACGAGTAAAACGCTAAATAATCAAATCAAGCCCCTATTTAATCGTTGTCGCTTCTTACCTTCCGCACGTACTCGTCGCCGAAGAAGTCTCTCACTGCACCCTATGCCACCCCGGCGGCCTCGTTGCTCAGGCTGGGTCTGTCCGTGCGCATGTAGGTGATGGTCATGTACCCCGCCTCATACTTGTAGTGTACAGTGCCTGAGACGCCGAAAAAATGCGCAAACGTAGGGAAAAGTCAGAAACAAAAACAAAAGTAAGCAAAGCTGTGAATATCCGAAACCGTACGAGCATCTTAGTCCTGTTTGCGGCGGAACAGGGGCTGCAAGATCCCGCGAAAATAGTTAGCTTGAGGAATGGACCAATAAAAATGACAAGCAAGGCAGGTCAACTCCACACTATTCATGCTATTAATAGACGCGATGTCATACAGTAGCACTAGCAGCCTCGCTGGCCCCAGCATTGCAAGGAGGCCATGTGCATATCTACGGCACTACGCAACGGCTGTGCGTCAAACGCTCGTTGAGTACAGCCCCCCAAAAATAAAAAATTACACACCGTCACCCTTGCTCACGTTCGCCGCCCTCATGGTCTGATCCACTCCCGGCCGTAGCCTTCGGCTACCCTCCTGGTGCAGCGTGGACGTGTTGAAGGGCGCCGGGGGCTGCCGCCTGACCCATCTCTTGTCGACCTTGACCACCTCGAGGGGCGACAGTTACGCCGCCACGGCTGACGCTTCCTCCGAATCGAGAAGATCCTACGACAAAAACAAAAACAGATAGGAACACATGCGTACATGAATGACAAAAAAAGAAGGGTACATGACTGAGGGAATGACAACAGGTAGAGAAGAGTTGTAGTTCGTGCGTACCATGATCGGTCAGCGACGAGGAGAGGCAACGAGCCTTCAAGCAAAATCCGGCAGGGAGGTGCACTCACGAGCTTGGAGGTGTCGAGCTCGTCCTTCATCTCCCCCGTGTCTGGATCGAAGTCCTTGCCCGTCACAATGGCCGTAGACCCCACCTCCGCCAAACGAGCATCGAAACACCGACCTTCCCCCCCGAAAAAAAGTTTGTTCAGGGCGCGCATCCACAGCATGTGCACGTTCAACTTGACTGTTCGTTGCTACCAAGAACAAACAACCCACAAAACACAACACACCGCAACGACTTAAAGGAAGCACACGACCTCCCAGCTGACCGACACAAGGCGAGAACAACAGTTGCCCGGTGAGCACCACAAGCGACAAATGGCCGGGGTCAGCTTTGGCCTTGCCCGGGGCGAGGAAAAGGGCACCGAGAGAAGCCAGCCGGGATGTAACACCAAACAACGGCAGCAACGACAACAACGAGAGCACGGCACAAACAAAACAACAAAGACAACGACGGCAACAGACAACGACCACAACAGCAATCGACAATAGCAAGGCCAGCAACAACGGTTGCGCGAATCAACAACAACAACAACAACAGCGATACCTGAACCATGCAAAGACAAAAAACATAGAACCAGCAGGGAGCACCTGCAACAAGTGCCAGCTGATGGCCTCCCCCTCTCGGTCCTCGTCGGTTGTACTGCAGGATTACCTCGTCGACTTGGCCGAGGCCTTCTTAAGCCGGTTGGTGATCGCCTTCTGCTTGGGGTTCTGGATGTACAGCGGCTCCAATTCGTTCTCCTGAAAAATCGACGGGGCGGCGTGCCACAAGGCAATGGGGTGACGAGGAGGCGGGGAGGAGCGGTCACGTTGTTAATTCTCTTGCAGTGCTGCTGCTGCTGCTGCTGCCGTTGCTGCTGCACGAGGCCAAACAACAACAACCTATTCAACGTTCGCCTCGGCTTCGCCAACAATAGTGATACCAACGAAGACAACGACTACAACACCAACATCAACAACTTAGCCCCCGGCCTGCTTGATACACTGAACATATACTCCTCGCGCCACAAGCGTGCCCACCACCATCACCACCACCGTACCATCGCCACTACTTCTCAATCACCAACACATGTCAAACAACAACGCAGAAAACATAAACGCGCACCACGTCCGCGCCCACCACATCCCAGCCCTTGGTCTTCTCCTTCAGCTCGGCCAGCACATCCCTTCTCTTGCCGACCAGGTCCGTCACGTCACCGTTGCGGGCGTCTACGGTGCGACCTTGGTACAGCTCCCCTCCACCGCCGCCTCGCCGCCAGCGGCGGCCTTTCTTGAGGAACTCCGTGATTGTCCTAGTCTTAGCCGGGGACTCCACGATCACATCACCAGGACTCCCTTGGAACCCTCCGACTTGGCGGTTGCAGGCTTGCTCTTCTTCTTCGCAGCGGCAGCGGATGCAACAGGCTTCTTCTTCTTGGGCGCGATTTTTTAGCCGCCGAAGGCTTTCTCGTAGTAGTACAACAGTGTGTTTGCAGCGAGGGCGGTTCTGCCGCAGTGGTGGCCATGGGTTCCGTCTTCTTCGCGCCAGCCGCAACCTCGACCTTTGTTGCAGCTGAAACAGGAGTCGTGGACGACGCGGCCGCCATGGAAGGTTGCGAAAACACCGCCGTCCTCGTACTGCCGCCGCCTGCCGACAGGCATTACAGCGCCAACCCTCGCTGCTGCTGTTGGTGGTGGTGGTGGTCGTGGTGATGATGGGTACGGTAGCAGAGAGAGCCCCACCAAGCCGACCACAAAGACCGCAGCGTCAAGGCCCCGCACGGGTGACGTCGGGTCGCCTACGCCTACACCGACCCTGGGGCGGTCAGGAGACATACCAAGAGCACCTTCACACGCACGGCGGCAAAAGCGAACAACGACGTCTTCCAGAAATGCAACAAGCAGAGCAGCCGCGACAACGGACAATTATGTTTTGAAAACCGGCTGGCTGTCGGCGTTCTACTCTCTCGCTCTCTCTTGGTTCTACTATCTGCGTGTAACCCACAAGGATGAAACAACGGCTGAGCGACCGGGAGCGCTGCCACCATGAAGCGGAGGGGCTACACAT